GATAAATAAGATTATCTCGTCGCTCTGTCTTATTTCCTCCATAAGCTTCTTTAATCTCTCTTCAAACTCTCCACGATATTTTGTTCCAGCAACTAGAAGACCCATGTCAAGTGTTATAACCTGAAGTCAAACAGAAAAGGAAAACGCAAGAACCATCAGATCGCTGTTGCACTACCCAGCATAATCACAGGAAATTAAGGGTGATGTGAATCTAAACTGTTAAGTATGTTGTTCATATTATCACGATAACAAAAACAAATCAGCATGGGCATTCTTTCACAAAAACAAGTGCCAGAAATTTAATCTACACAAACCAGAATGTACAAAGACCATATTATTCACTGGATACATTCTCTACATAAATTCTTTCTTTCACAACTTTTGCAGAAACATCATTTTGTATTGAACCTTTTGCCATGGAAAAAATCACAACTAAGGCAGTAAATTGGAACCTGTGACTCATGAAATGTGTGCCTACATGTAATAAACCAGTATGCAGTAAATGGAAGATTTAAAGTAAAGAGATAAGACTGGATCTCATACTCATTCATAACTATTAATTTATTTAAACGCAAACTTCTCAACAAGTCTGAAAAACAGACAAACATAATGCTTACCTTCTTCCCTTCAATGGTTTCAGGAACATCTCCACTGGCTATACGCTGTGCAAGTCCTTCAGCAATAGCTGTCTTACCAACACCAGGTTCTCCAATAAGACAAGGGTTGTTCTTGGTTCTCCTGCCAAGAATTTGTACCACACGTTCTATCTGTGGCTGCCTTCCAACAACTGGGTCCAATTTACCCTAAGGTCAAAAGAAAAGAATATGATTAAGTCTCAATTGATCTTACCTCTTCAAGGGAATCTCATATGGTCAGTTCAACAAATAACTACCTCCTCAGCCAGTTTCGTCAAGTTTGTCCCGTACTCTTCAAGAGTTGGCATCTTATTGCTGCTGCTTCCTCCCCCAACATTAGCAGTTACCTCATTGTTCTCACCCACCATGCGTATCACCTAGCCATCCAATACAATTAAGTTATACTTTGTAATATAAATTACACAACAATATATCAAGAAAACTGAAAAAAATCAGTTTACCACATAAGCAACTACTTTACCTGAGTGCGAATATTACTAGGATCTGCACCTAAATTTTCCAGGACACGAGCTGCAACACCTTCACCTTCACGTAGCAATCCAAGAAGAAGGTGCTCGGATCCAATGTAATTGTGACCTGATGATATTCACACAAGTAATGAACACAATCAACACAGTGGATAATACACTTCACAATAAATCAATATAGAGATTGCAGATACAGAGGCAAAAAAGATGAAAGCAAAAGACTTGCTATAGGGAAGGGATTTACCAAGTTGGCGAGCTTCTTCCAGTGAGAGTTCAAGAACACGCTTTGCACGAGGAGTGAATGGGATCTCAACAGCAACAAAGCCACTGCCCCTTCCAATAATCTTCTCCACCTCCACACGTGCATCTTTTAGGTTAATCCCCATGGATTTCAAAACTTTAGCAGCAATTCCAGTACCCTCACCAATGAGACCTAGAAGAATTTGTTCGGTTCCCACAAAATTGTGGCCTAGTCTTCTAGCTTCCTCCTGAGCAAGCATAATAACTTTGATAGCTTTCTCAGTAAATCTTTCAAACATTGCTTTCACCGTAAACCGGCTAGCTTTCCCCTTGGGCACATTCATCGCCTGCCGCACCTTCGAATGGAAATCTTGACGGTTTTTCCCTAGAGTGTCTAAAGCATTGTTCCCACGTAATCCCAAAAATCCTTGCATCCTTAATCCAGAAACTTGTAACTGACTACACATCATTTTCACCGATCTTCTCGATCTTCCAGATCCACGGGAGGGAACATTCCTCTGGTAACAAGCCAAAGATGGTGGAGTAGATTGAGCCAGCACCCTTGTGGCCATAGCCATGACTTCCTACAATTGGAACAAGGAGTTAGACTTCGAAGGAACAATTCGGAGAAAATATCAAATCGAAAAGCAAATAGAGCAAGAATTCAAACAAAGAACCATCAGCTGACAAGATAAGATTGGATTCGATTTACAAAAGCTGAAACACTGAGAACGAACTTTGGATAAGTGAAGCCCCAAACCAAAAACTAGCTCAGAAAGTTGAATTCCACTAAGCTCAGATCAATAGAAGCTACAAAATCAGCTACTAATGAAGATGAGAGAAATCGAACCAAAACAGTAACAGAAATGAGCAAATGGAATTGACTTTTTTTACAAAAACTAAAGAGAATCTCCATCTCCATCAATATTCACGATCTGAAGCATCATAAATCGCACAAATTCGAACTAAACCACACAAACAAGTAAAAATAAAACCCTAGCTTTGAACAAAAAACGAAGCCATAAGCTTCAAGGACAAACAGCAGAAACAAACCAAGAATCCGAATACAGAAATTAAGTGAAAAAACCCTCACCGAGTTCGATTGAAGCGTAACAGAGGATCAAATGGAGGAAAAAACGAATCGAAGAAGAAGAAGAGAGAGACAAATGAAAAGAAAAAAAAAAACAGATGGATATGGTGGTGTGTGCTTATTTTGTTTCACCCTCCCTTATCTCTCTCTCTCTCGGGTCTGATTCTTTATTTTTTTCTTTATACGGTGCGGGTCTATAACACTTGTTCGGTGCACCATCGTGCACGCTAGCAATACTTCCAAACTCTAGCTATGAAAATATCACGTGGTAAACCGACCTACTTACCGACTCAATTTTACGTAATCTACCGGCCGGTTTACACCAACCGACCCACAAACTTCAGTAGTTGGTGAAGTTTTCATGAAATTTCTGCATTTTATTGTTTTAATAGAGGATAAAGTACAATTTTACTATTCAAGTCAATTTTAAAACATGTTTCACTACCGGTTTACAGAACTAAACCAATTTGGTATAATAGCCAAAAGAGCTACGGTAAGGAACTTGACAACCTCACCACCGTCCGTTATAGAGAGTCTAAGATCGTTACACGTGACATTTCATGATTGGTTATGGAGGGAATGACTATTCTACCCTGAGGATATTGGTCTCTCGCTACGTATCTGGACAGAGGACTTAATGGTCAATTTGTTTGGTGTTAGAGGTTCCGTGTACGAGACCAATTTCTCGATTTTTATTTTTGTTTTTTGATTACTACTTTTACTTCTCGCGGACGAATCTTTCTAGACGTTGCCACTTATGTTACTTCGACCTCTTATTTTTTCTCGACGACGAGAGCGTGACATGGTTTATGTTCAACCTCTTATTTTATGGGAAATATCTTCTCTTTAGGCATTATAAAATTAAGGTGCTTTTGTTAATTAACCTAGAGAGTAATGATGTAAATGAATTATATTGCTAAAAAAAATCTTAATTTAATTTGTCTTCTTGTCCTCTCTGTTCATTACTTGCATTCAGGGACGGACCCATTCAGGGGAAAGGAGGGTCAAGTGACCTGGGTAAAATAATTATACTTGTGTTTATGCATTAGAGTTCTTAAAAAGCAAGCAGAAGTTTTGGTAATTTTATGCTTATTGACACCCCATAACCCATGTTTGATTCCCTAGTTTGACACTTTTTGATAAATTTATCTCCTTTCTTTTGTTTTATATAGGTTTTTGTTGGTCGAAAAGTAGTGATAACCACAATATTTTTTCGAGATCCATTGTACTTGAATAATATTATTATGCAATATACTAAATAATATAGTTTCATATTTAAATGATCCGGGTAAATAATTTTTCTGGGTCCGCCATTGCATTGCATTGCATACCAATACCATATCTTGGCTAAAATCGCTTGTTGATTGTGATAAGGCGACTTTGTATAATCTTTTTAAGAATATGTAGAAATATCTTTTCGCATTAAGACATGTACTTTTCATTATAAAGAAAGAAAGAAAACTATATTAAAGTTGTTTAGACACATCTTCGACGAATTCTATATATCCTATATAACATTTAAGTTTTTTCCAGCGGACAAAAATTCGTTATTTTCAAAACCAAATATTCCAAGTTTCCAACCCTATATATTATATCATTTGAAGTAAAGTGATGTTTTAGTATAAAAGTTGGTAAGTTTTGTTTTAAACTATATGATTTTTCATTTCTTTTGTTAATACAAATAAATTAAACAGCATGGGAGCGCCAAAGACACCAAATTTATAAACGAAAATAAAGTTTGTTCATTCTGAATCCTTTCGTGGCTCTATAATGTTCTAAGCTTCCGTTAGGTTCGTTGAGATACCATACAGACTTTGACCCATACAATTCATGAAAAAAATTGAGCTTGGGTAAAAAAAAAAAGCCAAATTAATCATGCGGAGCATAAAGGTATAATGAAATTGTCGACGAATCTAGTAGTCCAAGATTAACCTTTTTTTATCATGGCTTACAAACAAGATATACTTTAGATTAATGATGGTTATTGGACCAGAATAAAGCATTAGAATTTAGAAAGACTGTTAGTTTTCCCTAAACACCTCTTCGAGAGTTGAAAAGCATATAGCCAAAAGCTTGTACTATTATAGATGACGGATAAGGAACATATTTAATCAAGAATCAAGACGACTTTTCTGACCATGTTGATAAGAACTTCATAAACATGTCTAACCTTTCTTGAGCTAAACGAAACACTCAAATATTTAAACTGGTAGGCGCGTAATAGAGAGTTCTAGATTTTCTTAAATGAAAGGTATAACTACCCATTAATTTAGCTTTATTTTATGCATCCGCCTTGTCTCTCTCAAACATAGCTAGAATCTTGAAAAGTTTTGATAAGGATCTTGTCATTGACTTTGTAAACACAATAATATCATCAGCAAAACATAAATGTTGGTTATGGTAATCGATATTTTAGTTCTGTAACTTAGCAAAATGCTAAAAAAGTAAAAATGTTAATCGATTACCATTCTCCATATAACGCTGCGTTTTGGAGTTGGAGGAGATACTTAAAACGCTGCGTTTTATATTTTGGTTTCCCGCGTATATTTCTCCCTTTATTATCGGATAGCCCAACACAGGCGAAGAAAACCTAGCTCTTGCTTCGCCATGGACGTCGGAGGAGAAGACATAAGCGATCTCCAGGTAGACCAAATCGTTGAAGAAGATTCCATGGATGATCTCATTAGAGACCGATTCAGACTATCCGCGATCTCTATCGCCGAAGCCGAGGGTTAGACTCTCTCCCTCCCTCTCCTTCCATTTCATTCGATTTCTCAAAATTTCCGGCGAATCAACGGTGGTTTATGAATCTATTCGATGAAACATCTTCTGGATTTCGATTTGATTTTGAAATTTGTTCTGATTTGATTGAGGATTCAATTTTCATCTTCACTTATTCCTTCGCCCGAGAATCTATTTGGCTTCCGATTAGTGTCTTCTGGTGGACGAAGAACATAGCTTAAATGTTTTCATTGCCATTCTTTGTTTTCGAATTAGATTTGGCGATTTTCAATCTCTAGAATTGGTGAATCAACATAGTAACGAAGAAGATTCTTCCTGGAGAAGATTTGAATTTGATTGATTTGAGTTTTGGTTTGAGCAGCGAAGAAAAATGGAATGGAAATAGGCGGACCTGTTGTGGCATGTGTGGCGGATTTAGCCTTTAAATATGCAGGTGAGATCAGTTTTCTATGCATTGGAACAATAATTCTGCAACTCTCTTTTCTTATGGTTTGAAGAACCCTACGGTAGTTAAAACTTGTCATTGCTATTTACTTGGAAACTTAATCTAGCTTCAGGGGAATATAGATTGGTCAATATGCTTTGGAAGTAATCTTTTGGTTAGAGGAATCCTGGTCTAGTTATACATTAATGAAATGTGAAATGTTAGTTTTATCAGTTCTAATCATTTCTTTTAAACTTTATATGGCTTACTATTCACCTGGAATCTTTATTTAGCTTCAGGGGAATATAGATGGGTCAATATGTTTTGTAAGTAATCTTTTTGTTAGAGGAATTCTGGTCTTGTTAGTTTTACATTAATGAAATGTGCAATGTTAGTTTTATAAGTTCTAGTCATTTCATTAAAACTTTTCATTGCTTACTACTATTCACTTTGAATCTTTATCTAGCTTCAGGGTAATACAGATTGGTCAATGCTTTGGAAGTAATCTTTTGGTTTATGTTAGGATTTTTATCAGCGGTGAAGAAGAGTATCTGTTCTTAGGCCTTTATGTGGTAGTTAGCCTAAAAAAGCACAGAAATGGCAACCTAAAGCATGGTGTGTGCTTATGTTGAGTAGGATTATTTTGGTTGATGTTTGTATGGTAAACTGTTTGCAGAAGCTTCAATTCATAGTAGAGTTGACTAAATCAAAATTTAGTGTTTTAGTTTCCAGAGTAGCTTTGTCTGAAATTTTGCTTCTTTGTTATGAGTAACAGAAAATGTTGCAAAGGACCTTGAACTATTTGCTCATCATGCTGGACGCAAAGTTGTGAACATGGACGATGTTGTTCTCTCCGGTATAAACTGTTTCAACTCTCACACGTTCATGTTAATGGTTTCTTAGTTCTGAATGTCATATCTATTTCTGAAATTTGCAGCTCATAGAAACGATAACTTAGCTGCGTCTTTGAGGTCATTGTGCAATGAGTTAAAGGCAAAAGAGCCACAATCGGATAGGAAACGCAAGAAAGGATCAGCCAAGAAAGAAGACAAAGCCAGTAGTAGCAATGCCGTTCGCATCACGACCGATCTGTAACTCTTCAAGCAGAGTGTAAATACACACCCATGGAGAAGCTGTTATTAAAAGCCCTGGAGTTTTTTGGAAATTTATATAGAAGACTTTTGCATTAACGTACTTTTAAATGATTAATATATCCAATCAGAAAATTAAAAAAAATATGCGTATTTATCCTCACTTGCTTAATTAAAGCTGCGTATTTATCGAGAATCTATTTCTATATTCTCTTTAGATTTGCATTGTTATCTGTTTTCTTTTATATACTACGTATAAGCTAAAATATTGTAAGCTAGGTCTGATAATTCCCCTACCCGCGCTAGATAACAATGTCACAATCTGGCTCTTCTCCGACGAAGAAACAGAAGCTGGATGATGGTTTAGGTATATTTTTCTGATCCTTTTGGTTATTACACATTGAAGATTATGTATGAGGGATCTCGATTTGGTCTAGGGTTAATGTAGCAAAGAAATTCAGAGTGTTTTATGTTGTAGGTAAAGGAAAATCTCAGAACGAGATTGGTGCTGTAGGGATTAGAGAAGAGAAAGATAATGAAGCTGAGAATGCGAAGGTATATCTGTTTTATTGAAGATCAAAAACGTTGATCCTTTACAAGGATACAGAGATGTGATTGCATTGAAAGTCTTGTCTTGTTTTTGGTTGGTGTATTTCTATGTCCTTTGTGTGAATTGTCTGAATTTTCATTTTTGTAGCATGCACATTACGACCCTTATGGTTATGGTGGTTCTCCTTTTGGAACTGGATCCGTTCTCCTAGATTACCCCACCTCCCCTAATTACAGCCCTACATCTCCTAGTTACAGGCCTACCTCTCCTAGTTATCGCCCTAACTCTCCTAGTTACAGGCCTAACTTTTCTAGTCACAGTCCTGACTCTATTATTTACAGGCCTAACTCTCCTAGTCACAACCCTGACTCTACTATTTACAGGCCTAACTCTCCTAGTCACAGCCCTGACTCTACTATTTACAGGCCTAACTCTCCTAGTCACAGCCCTGACTCTACTATTTACAGGCCTAACTCTCCTAGTCACAGCCCTGACTCTACTATTTACAGGCCTAACTCTCCTAGTCACAGCCCTGCCTTTACTTGTTACTGGTCTGACTCTCCTAGTCACAGCCCTGACTCTCATAAATACAGGCCTAACTTTCCTAGTTACAGCCCTACCTCTCCTAGTTACAGCCCTACTTCTCCTAGTTACAGCCCTGTCTCTCCTGATCACAGCCCTACCTCTCCTCAATGCTGCCCTACCTCTACTCAGCACAGCCCTATCTTGAGCTCTCCTCCTGAAGATGATGGTTATGGTCCTGAGCACATGGAAGCTGAAAACAAGACCAATGATCATCTCACGGAGATTGGGGATGGATACTTCCATGTGGATGGTAGAAATTACCCGGAAGCTGAGGCCACTCGCACAATTCATGTCCCATGTTCTAAGGTTTGGTTTTACATTCTTGACTCTTGTTTCAGTATCACGTACTGAAATTTACTATGCAGGTAGCTCTACTGGTTGGTGCTGCAGCGACTTTACGGTTTCTTCAGCACAACCTTTGTGCTAGAATCCGTATTTTAAAGGATTCAGACGTTGATTTGAAGTCTGCACAAAGACCAGTGGAATTAACTGGAACTGTTTTACAGATCGAGTTTACTCAGCAGCTTATCGACTCTGTCCTAGCAGAGGTTGGTCATAATTAGCTCAATTTCTTCTTCTTGTTTACTACTCTCAACTATTCTGTTTTTTTTCTTAGTCTGAGAAATTTGGTTACAATAATTTCAGGAGAATCATGATTAACCAATGGAAGAGGAAAAAACTAAGAAACCATCTTCTCAGAAAGATTGTGAAGCTCTTATTAAGCAAGTCCATGCCGAGTATGAATATCCCACGTGTGATGCAGCAACCTCTCCAAGGATATGAAGTTGTTCAAGTTTGATCAAATTTATATTAAACCTCTCAAACATTTTATAAGCATTCGGGAGATTATTTTCGGTAATTAAACAAGCCATGATAAAATCTTATTTAAAAGTCATGGAGAATTTTGTTCGGTCTGATTGGTAACATTTTACCGGTTTTAATAGCTTATGACCTTTATCATTCTGGGGCATAGCATAAGATATCAGTATTTGTACTAGACACTTTCCAATTCTCTTAACTAGATTTACTGTTCGCGCATTGCGCGGGATATCAAATTTCAACTGGGTATAATACAAAATGTTAAGATTAATCATAATCATTTGAATTTTAAAAACTATATACATTCATACTTGTTTTACAAAACAATATACAACATAGAAATTATAAAATATATTTAGTAGGTACCGCGTAATAACAAAAGTTATATAAGATAAATCATTTTCAGGAGTCATCAATGAATTTTTTTTTTATCAAAAAGAGAGTTATTTCCATAAACATATCTTGTAAGTATAACTGTCTTGATGTTTTGACCTATTCGTACCTCATACTAAAAGTAAATTTGCTGAGTTTGAACTTCAATTTATAAAATTTATAAACGTAATATTCATGCCGCTTCAATAGGTTTGGAGAGCACAATTTACCTATTGAAGTAAGACCATCATACCTTAAGGAAAGTTTTGACAAAATCATGAATGTCTTAATCTTATCTCTCCTACTACACTTACATGGCTCGACGATTTAACCTGATGTTGAATATGATAGTCTGGTTTACTAAACCAAACTATCTAATAATGCATACATATATCCGATGTTTCAAGCATTACTCAATTTCTCTTCAAATATTTTTCGTCGTTTTCTATGATGCATTTGTTCGCTTCCCAACATCTACTCTTTTTTTATTTTCTATATGCTCACTTTAATAAAACTTTAAATTGATTTCTAACTGAAAATTATTTCCTCATTTCATCTTTTTAGTTTATTTTCTTTTATTAATTATATGGTTTTCATGCTTCAACTTAATATAATTTTACGAAAGATATATATTTGTTAAAATTTCCTCAACAGTACTTATTTAGATTTTTACCTATATTTAAACATATTCACCTTTTTATTTAGAAAGCAAACAATAATATAGATAACTGTATTATTTTTATTGTTATATTTTACTATAATTTAATATTAAGATACAATTAATCTTTATATTTTTCGTCAATGTGAATTTATACTATTACTCTCTTTAAATATAATTTTTCAATTTTAAATATGAATTTTTTCTTATATCTTAAAAAACTTTTACAATCATACATTTAACCATTTATTTTTTAATCTAAAAATAATATTATTTTAAATAAATTTCTTCCACTTTATTATTATCTCTTTAATTTAATGTTTCCATGAAATATGAATATCTTCTTATTATTTAAAAAAAAACTCTTATAGCCTTCCATTTCAATTCAATTCTTTTTTTCATCCTAAATTATATTTGAGGTTTCCTTATTATTCTTAAAAATGATAGTTTTTAAACGTTTTTTATTTTTAATAAGTTATTATTTGTTTGTAATTGTATAATAAATGTCATTAAGAAACCTTTTGTCCATCTTAAATAACATTGGTATTTCTATGAAATTTTCATAATTATTTTTTATTTCTTAATTTTTATTTCTTAATTAAATATTTTCATAATTATTTTTTATTTCTTAATTTTTTATTTCTTAATTAAATATTTAGCGATTGTGTTCATTTTAAGATATATATTAACAAAAAATTAATTTAAGTGTTTTATATGTAAATATGTTACACTTGTGTTATTATTATTCAAGTAACTTTTATTTAAAACTGTGTATTAATTGATGATTACTTCTTTGATAATGAGATGTAATTAACCATGAAATTAAATATTTTGAAATAATTATTAGTAGAATTCATAATATTAATTTGGTGATGATGTGGACACTCTAAGAGGAGAGAAACTCTCCCATTATATATATATATTAATTAATGCTTGATTTGTTTTGACCAGATGTAATATTTTTTTTTGGGTCCCAACCAGATGTAATTTAAGAATTGTTCTTGTGGCAACAAATTTATGCAAAATGCATTATAATGACTCTTTGACCCAACAAAAAACACAGAATTATATTAAAATACTAACTATCTTTCCCCATTTCTCATGTCTAGACAACACCACTATATTTAAAAGCTCTGGTCTAAATTGGTTCCATATCAAAAATGAGATTGTCAAATTGGCAAACTTCCCTCCGCAATAATCTCTAGACTCTAGAGCAATGATTCTTCAACCATCTCTAAAACCCATGTTGTGGTAATGATTCTTCCTCGTGGTAATGCTATTATACTATAGTCTATAGTCTCTCTTTTCTTTTAATCTGTTCAATGATATGGGTTTGGATCTTGTTGATAACTGTTGATTATGCTTTCCTTTGGATCTTAATTCTTTTTTCTTTCTCCGGAATTCAGAATTCAAGGTTGATTTTTGTCATTTTAGAATTATTTTGTCGGATCTCATAGAAGGATAAAGATTCCAAAGAAATGTCTATTATAGATAATTAGAGTAAGGAGATTGAAAATATATATCATAACATGGCTGATGAATCTATAGTACGTACTTTAGTTGAAACATATATGCATGTCATGGATATATGTTTCTCTATTTGAATTATTGTGATTTGGAATCTTTAACGATAATCACGGATCTTTGTTTTCACTCCGCATGTGGTAGTGTAGTACCTATGGTTTTGCTAATTGTGGTCCACTTTTGTTATCGTGTTTCTCATTAAGCACATGTTACCCTTTTACATGTATTCTTCATCCTAGCCTCTTACAATGTATTGGAATATGGGCTTCCAACTCAAAACCAATTGGTTATGAGTGGAGTGGCCCATATCCCTTATATATTACTTAGGATCCCTTCCAACTTCCGATGTGGGACATTATGTCTTAATACGATGAAGCTTATGCTTTATATATTAGTAATTCAGAAAAAATAGTGAAAGATTTTGTTTTCCGGCGATTGTATCGGCTTTTTAGTTAGTGTAGATTACTTTGGCCTCAATAGTTCCTGAATTGTTAAGCATATAATGTGACTTTTTGAATTGCTTTCAAAAATAAAATAAAATAAAATAAAAAGACACGACCAAGCATGCTATATTTCACGCTATAATAATTGAGGTCCCGATAGTCATGTGTCTATTACAGGTAATAATACCGTGAGTAGAAAGAGCCTTTTTCAAAAGATTTTCAAAAAAAATTACAATCTGATTTGGGCAAAAAAAATTCAAAAGATTTTATCATTTTAATACTAATCATGAAAAAATTACAACATATTTTCATTCTTTAATATAGTTTACAGTCTAGGATTGGTTGTTATAAAGAAACAACTGAGAGAAGAAGTTACCACCGGATGGTTTTGGCTAGTGGTTAAACAGTGGTTTATCATGTTGTGCTCAACCTTGGTGAGAGGGATGCACACATCACGTCATATCATTAAGTATGAGCAGAGGCTAGTCTCGAGCAGTTGGAGAATAACGGCTTTGGCCTGAACCCCTCCTAGTTAACAAGGACAAAAAAAAAACAATTTAGGAGTCTGGTCTAAATTTCCTAGGTTATCAAGTAGAATCTGATAAATTTACAAAACAGATGTTACGTGATCAATTTTTTTTTTGGGGTCAAATTTACGTGATCATTTAGGATAAGAAAAGACAAAGTAAATGGATTGAAAACACCTGAAAATGTTAAACAAATTAAATGGATTGAATAGACTTGAAAATTACAAGCCGATACAAAGGCTTCACAAATTGCTATGTATGAATTCTTTTTTTATGTGACAATTGGAACAAACTAAGGAAAAGGATTGAATGGAAGATATAATTTATACACCTGTATATGATTATGATGGTAGGACATGGAAGGCAAAATAAGAGATTTCAATCAGTTTCACAACAATAAATCACGTGTAAATAAAATTTTATAGATTTTGAAAGGATTACACGTGACCACCTTTTCTTTAGGTGGCAAGTGGCATCAAATTCATTGGTTCTCAAGCTCTTTGGTTCATGCACGTGTGGATAAGGGTTTAAATGATAAAATTGACGTGCGTGGCCTATTATGGTTGGTTGATATCTAATGTTATGTGGAAGAAGAATTTACTCAAAAAATGAAACTTGTCCTAGTTATTGCAGAGGTTTAAATGATAGGAAACAACTGTCGAATGTGTTTAATGATGATCTCCAGACTCCAGGTAGTGAATCTTCCGCCTTAGAACGATTCTTGTCAATATGAATTTCGAAATAATGACTTAAAGTCTACGAATCTTTGGAGCAGTTGCAATAGCATGACAGAGACATTGAGCTTGGATTACCAAAGTTGATCAGCTAGACAAGGAAAATTTTCTAGCTAGATTTCAAAGAAACTGATGAGTATATATATCAACTGTAACAATATAATTCACCTTAGGGAAAGAGATTAGTGTAAGAAGATTAATAATATAGATTTACTTGGTGGCAATATTTATACATTAGTTAAGGTGTTGAAATCACGTTTATATAAAAATAAAAATAATAAAAACTTACACCGAGTATTAGGATATTGAGGGCATATATGTTTTATAAGAAAATTAAAGACACATTTAAAAAAAAAAAAATTAAAGAAACATCATAAGAAAATTAAGGAAACATCATAAGTGGAAATTACTTGTGAGACTGAGTAGACTTTAGAACTGTAGTTGTTACAAGTTGTTTCCAACAAACAAAGGTCTTTTTGGGTTTGTGTAGACGTGTGATAAAGTTTCTTTTTCTTTTTGATAAAAGACTTGTGTTAGGTTTTTTCTTTTTTTTGATAAGTTTAACGTTGTAATGTTTGCTTAAAAAATTCTAGTAAACTTTGGAATTTGGAGTGCACTAATAATTATGATAAGGGGAATTGCCATGATTGTAATTTATTCAAGTTCTGTTGTAGCTCGAAGTATCTCTGCATGGTTTTTACATTTATAAAATTGCCATGATTGTTTTTGTTGTATTTACATTAGCTAGGTCGATATTTTCTTTCGTGTTCCAAGTTGCAATACGTAAATATTATATAAATTTTTTTAGAACAAGTAGTAAGACATTTTCAATCAGTTCACACAAAATGATTGAATGAAAAAATAATTATAATATTATATACAGCCAATATGATTGTGATTGCAAGACATTGGGGGCACAAAATTAAGAGATTACAATCAGTTCCACAACAATAAATCACATGGAAACAAGCTTTTATAGATTTAATAGACCCACACTTCTTCTCAGGTGGCTCTACAAATTCATACGTGTAGATAAGAGTGTGAATAATAAGTTGATGTGGCTTATTCTGATTGGTTGATATTTAAATCTAGAAGAATAATTTACCTAAAAAAAACCAAATAAAATTTGTCTCTTCAGTTTTATCACTAGCCTAGTGCTCCACCATTAGACAAAGACATTATAGATCTAAGAAAATGTCAATATAATGGATGATGATTATGAGAAAAACTTACACGTTTAAGAGGCCCGAAGTTGCTATCTAACAGTTGTAGCCATGGCCGCTTTGATAATGCAGTTTGAAGGAGAGAAGAAAAACTTATCCGAAGTTGCAGACGTAACCCTCAAGCAAGATCAAGATGAACAACAACGTCGATCTTATTCGACGTCGTTTAGGGAAGAGAGGGACACTTTCGGGCCGATTCAAGTTCCTTCCGATAAGTTCGGGATCTGATCTTTACGATATATATCGTTCTGATCTCGAGGGAAAACGTTTTCACATTCTTATTGTTGTTCTGTGTCAGATTATGGGGAGCACAGACGCAGAGATCGCTTCAGAACTTCAAGATTGGTGGTGACCGCGAGCGAATGCCCGAACCAATCGTCCGAGCTTTTGGTGTCTTGAAGAAATGTGCTGCCAAGGTTTTTGCACCAAAGTGTCTATGTAAATTTATCTTTTTTTTTTTTTTTTTCTTTTTTTTGGTTCGTAAGTTCACGATGATGTTTTAGGTTAACATGGAGTATGGTCTTGATCCAATGATTGGGGAAGCTATAATGGAAGCTGCACAAGAAGTAGCAGAAGGAAAGCTCAATGATCATTTTCCTCTTGTTGTATGGCAAACTGGTAGTGGCACTCAGAGTAATATGAATGCTAATGAGGTAATTTCTGGCAGTGTTTTTTTTTTTTGTTAAATAATTTCTGTCAGTTTTTTTTTTTTTTTGTTAAATAATTTCTGTCAGTGTTTTTTTTTTTTGAACACAATTCTGTCAGTGTTGAAGATATGTTTTGTAGGATCTCATACAAGTGCTACCATTAGCGGATCCAAGAAAAAGAAAAAAAAAGAAACTAACAAAGACAAAATGTTTGTATCTTCGTAAATTCCTAATATATACTTTTATCTAAAAAAACCGATGCATATTTCACGGCTTCAGTTTTTTAACAATAATATTGACGGCTTCGGTTCTTTACCGCAGTAGATTTACCCTTTTGTGAAAAATAATTCCAATTATTTTCAAAGAATGATCGAATATACACAAAAGAGATTGACTAGTTTTATGAGAAATTTTAAGGGATTAAGAAATATTGACCTCTTTTTTCAAAAATACTAGTAAAAATGGTTTCTCAAAAATATAACATTTTATAAAGATCTTATAAGTCCTAATTATAAAACGTAAACAAAATGTTATAAATTTTTTATTTATTTATTTTATCCAAATGAAGTTAATAAAATAATAGCAGAGATGATAAATAATTAAATAAAAAGAGAAAAAAATTAATCATATCTTATTATATAAAGTATGGTTTTCAAAGTTAGTAATTCATAGGATATGCCACGTCTCAAGTTTTTTAATGAGATATCAACACATGTCAAATCTAAATTCGTTAATATATTTTAAAAAAATATAGAAAATTTCTTACACCTAGCGAAAAAAATAAATATAAAAAGATACATTATTAGTTTAGAATAAAGATAACTATAGTTACATATAATTCATAATGTAACGAGTTATTTTAAAATAGGGACCCGTTCAAATATGTTTTCGTATCTTTTGTCGAATTGTTTTTTTTTGTTAAGCTAACTGTAAAATATAGATGTCAACAAAATACATAAAATATTGAGATGCATAGATAAAGATTGTGATAAAAGAACTCAATAGTATCAAAGATGAATAAGATTTAAGTATAGTCATTTTCGAGTAATACGTTTATGACAAGTTACTAATATATAAAGTTTAACTCACATTATAGTAGTTTAAAAAAAATAACTTACATGATTTAAGGATATTTAGATAGAGTAGATAAATTGAGATGAGAGTTAGAACATTAATATAGAAAAATGTGTGGATTTCTATTTAAAATTGAAATAGCAGAAAAAAACTAAAACAATAAGATGGAGTATGTAGAATTAAAAATGTTTAGCTCTAATCTATTAAGATGGAGCGTGTAAAATTAAACAGTTTATCATCATGAAATAATTATTTAAATTATATGATGTATATTACTATTTAAAATTATTATAAAAAATTATATTTATTAATTTCTTTCACCCGCCTAAGACGGGCCTTATCTAGTATATGTATAATATCAAAATAAGTACTACTCACCAACTAGAGTGTCTCCTCATCAAATTTCTCTTTTATTGCCATAAATTTATAATTAATATGAAAATTAGAGAAATACTATTGACTTTTTTTCAGGTTATTGCTAATAGAGCAGCTGAGATTCTTGGTCACAAACGTGGGGAAAAAATTGTGCACCCAAATGACCATGTGAATAGATCACAATCTTCTAATGACACTTTTCCGACTGTAAGCTTTAGTTTGCATTCTCATTACCAATAATTTTGCATGCTTACGTTCATTTAATTGCTTAGTACTAATTGATGGTCCCATTATTTTGGTTTTGTCTAGGTCATGCACATTGCAGTTGCAACCGAGATTACTTCAAGGCTGATCCCTAGTTTGAAAAATTTGCATAGCTCTTTGGAGTCTAAGGTGACTCATTTGATCTAGTCGCTAAATTGCAACACACTACTATTCCAACATGAAACTTGCTCTGACCTAAATGGTGACAGGGAACACTTGTGACCTCAAAATTCATAGTCTATTTGCTCTGCGTTCTAACATTTTAAGAATTATCTCATCTTATTCTGTTTTCGGCAGTCCTTCGAGTTCAAAGACATTGTGAAAATTGGAAGAACTCACACTCAAGATGCTACACCTTTGACGCTAGGACAAGAATTTGGCGGCTATGCTACTCAAGTAAATTATTTCTTCAGTTTTCTCTGCTTTTCCAACAAAAATGTAAATCACATGCCATGTATAAATAATTTTTACTTTTTTGAACTCATGATTTAGGTTAAGTATGGACTTAGTAGAGTCGCATGTACTCTACCTCGCATCTATCAGGTTTGAAAATGATATCTTTAGAGGATCTGATTTCATATACTTCTCCAAGTTTCATTGAGCTCTAACTTGTTAAAAATGTATGTCCAGCTTGCACAAGGTGGAACCGCTGTTGGGACCGGATTAAACACTAAGAAAGGGTATATCTCATTTCTAATTTAATTTCCATTACAAGTTCATATCATTATAGTTCACTGTTAGTAACACTATAACTTTATTTACAGGTTTGATGTAAAGATAGCTGCTGCAGTAGCCGAAGAAACAAACTTGCCATTCGTCACTGCAGAAAACAAGTTTGAAGCTTTGGTTAGCCTCTAAACCACTTCCATCATCATCAATGTCCCAATTCATTCCTAGCATCTTGCTCTGGGTGCTAAATTATACAAGATACTTCTGAATGGTTGATATATATGAAATTAGCTGTTGAGTTATTCTGTCTTTTTACAGGCTGCACACGATGCTTGTGTTGAAACAAGTGGATCTCTTAATACAATCGCCACATCGTTGATGAAAATCGCTAATGATATACGTTTTCTTGGAAGGTACGTATCTAATCTTTTTTTTTTTTTTTTCTTCCTTCAAGATGTACTATGTTCTTATGATGTTTTAACATGTCTTTATATAGTGGTCCAAGATGCGGTCTTGGTGAACTTTCTCTGCCTGAAAATGAACCAGGAAGCAGTATCATGCCTGTATGAATGCAACTTTCCTTTGTTATTCTGTCTTTTTCCTCTGCCCATTGATTTTGATTCTCAAGAATTATAATCTCTCTCTCTCAGGGAAAGGTAAATCCTACACAGTGTGAGGCATTGACTATGGTTTGTGCTCAAGTAAGTTTTTTTATTCATCAATACATTCTTACTAACATATGAATTTAAATTGCTAAGGTTGTCTTGTTCATGACTCTTTTGGTTGCATTCAACAAAATTGTAGGCTATGGGAAACCATGTAGCTGTGACAATTGGTGGGTCAAATGGTCATTTTGAATTGAATGTATTCAAACCGGTTATCGCAAGCGCTCTGTTACATGTACATTAATCTTCTTTCATTGTGCATCTTTTTCTTTTATTCTATTAAAAAAATCTCAATCTTAACCATATGATTCTTATGTCTTTATCAGTCCATTAGATTAATAGCAGATGCTTCAGCTTCATTTGACAAAAACTGTGTGAGAGGCAGTGAGGCTAACAGAGAGAGGATCTCAAAGCTATTGCATGAGGTAGGCTTCTTCTCGTTGATTGGCCTTAAAATTATTCATGTGTGGAAATGATTTATCTATAGGAACTAATTCTTTGTTTTATGTATATCTTCTCTCTATAGTCTCTTATGCTTGTGACATCATTGAATCCTGTAAGTCTCCAAATATTTAACTTCTTTGTCAAGTCATCCATTTTCTCCTTATGATTACAAATGAATATGCCTCAATGCTAATTTTTCGAAACCTTGTTTCCTTTACCAGAAAATCGGCTATGACAATGCTGCAGCAGTTGCCAAGAAAGCTCACAAAGAAGGATGCACATTAAAGGTAAACACTTCTCATAAAATAAATCGGAATTGAAACACAGTTGAAATTGATTTGCAACAAGAGAAAACATGTTCTTGTTTGTATAAATTTGTTGGTCTATTTTGGATTTAAACCTTCTTCAGTGGAGATCATAAATATATAATACAATATCTTTAAGATCCCTAAATCTTTGCTTTAATTTATTCTATAGCACGCAGCTATGAAGTTAGGTGTTCTTACTTCGGAAGAGTTTGATACTCTTGTTGTTCCTGAGAAGATGATTGGTCCCTCTGATTAAATTATAATGGAGCCAAAAGCTTCAAATACAAAGTGGATGTGTGGTTTTTTTTTTTGGATCAAGTTGTGTTTACTCTTTTGTAATAAAATGCTGCATATGTATGCTTGTGTTCAAATTTTTGGATATGTTTTAGAGTCATGTGGTTATAGTATTCTAAGTAATTTATCAAAAAGTTTGTAATATATACTTAAGTTCAATGAAATAAATTTGTATGTGAAAATGTTTAATATTGTTGTTGTGTTACAAAAGTCATAAAAGGGAGGAGATCACAAAGTCGCAAAAAGATGCATACATGTGATAAATGTTACATAATTTATGTGGAGCCTACCGTTACTATACAAACACAATAACTTATCTTTTTATCTCTATAAATAGAACAATGCGAGCATACAATAACTTATTTTTTACCTCTATAAATAGAACGATGATGTGTTCATTATAAACACAAAACTTCGCAACTTCAATAATAACAAAATCTCTCTTTCGTCTCTTTTTATTACTCTTTAGTAGCCCGATCTTTCTACAAATATAAAATTTTCTCTATTATTTATATTCTATCTACCATTAAACAAAACACTTATTTATAACAACAACATGGATTAAATGACAGACTGATTTATATGAGAGTTTTGCAACATTTTATCAAAATATGAGAAAAAAAAACAATATCATCAAAATATGAATTGGTCGATAAGGCCCATGAAGGTCCAACATAGTTAATGGGCTTTGTATAGATAAATTTTACCGACTTTGAATCGATTATCTACGCGTCGTCGTCGTCGTCCGTCTTCAACTTCTCCACCATCGCCGCCATAAGCAGAGAAGAGTTTCACATATAAACGAAAAAACCCCTTCGAGGAACTAATCAGAAATCACAAGTCGACGATATGGAGAACGGAGATATTCCAGAGAACGCCAACGAGCGTAAGCAAAATCAATCCTTTTTTCACTTTTCTTGTAGCTTCAATCGCTGGGTTTAACCTAATTGGGTTTTGTTTGTTGGTTGCTTGTGAATAGATTGCCCAGGTCCTCAATCAGAAACTGCTGGAAAGTCAGATTCTTGTGCTGGTTGCCCTAATCAGGAAGCTTGTGCCACTGCTCCTAAAGGACCTGACCCAGGTTCGATTTCTCTTGAATTACTTTTGGCTGAATGTCTCTGCTTGCGAGTCGCACTTAGGATTACATTTCACAAGTTGGTTTTGTTGTTTGTTGTTGTTGCAATTTCTAGTTTTGAAGATGGGTTTTGTATCTATGTGTTTATATGAGCTTGTATCTCTTATTTACATCTTACATGTTCGATTGCTTCTCTATCTGGAGTGGCTTCCTTTTACTGGCTCCATATTGTTCTGTTGAGAGTAACACCATGTGATGTTTAAAGGATTCAATATTATTGATGCTAATGTCTGATTTAAGCTCCATATGTGTTTGAATCGCAGACTGACCTGGTTATTAGTTGAAGTTATGCGGGGATGGATATTTGAGCTGACGTTTTCTGTTTTCTGTAGATTTGGTTGCCATTGCGGAGAGAATGAGCACTGTTAAGCACAAGATTCTGGTTTTGTCTGGCAAAGGTGGAGTTGGTAAGAGTACTTTCTCAGCTCAGCTCTCGTTTGCTCTGGCGGGCATGGACCATCAAGTAGGTCTGATGGACATTGATATATGCGGTCCAAGCATCCCAAAAATGTTAGGTCTTGAAGGGCAAGAGATTCACCAGAGTAACCTTGGATGGTCTCCGGTTTATGTGGAAGATAACCTTGGTGTCATGTCCATAGGTTTCATGCTCCCTAACTCTGATGACGCTGTGATCTGGAGAGGTCCACGCAAGAATGGTCTCATCAAACAGTTCTTGAAAGACGTCTACTGGGGAGAGATTGATTACCTTGTGGTTGATGCTCCACCAGGAACCTCAGATGAACACATCTCAATCGTCCAGTACCTTCTACCCACAGGGATCGACGGTGCCATCATTGTCACGACACCACAGGAAGTCTCCTTGATTGATGTCAGAAAAGAAGTGAGCTTTTGCAAGAAAGTTGGAGTCCCCGTGCTAGGAGTAGTAGAGAACATGAGTGGTTTGTCTCAACCGTTGAAGGATGTCAAGTTCATGAAGCTGGCGACAGAGACCGGCTCCTCCATTAACGTGACCGAAGACGTAATCGCTTGCTTAAGAGAAAACGCACCAGAGCTTCTTGACATCGTGGCTTGCAGCGAAGTGTTTGACAGCAGCGGAGGCGGTGCAGAAAGAATGTGTCGGGAAATGGGAGTACCGTTTCTTGGGAAAGTTCCTTTGGATCCGCAGCTTTGCAAAGCAGCTGAACAAGGTAAGTCATGCTTTGAGGATACCGAGTGTTTAATCAGCGCACCTGCGCTTAAAAGCATCATACAGAAAGTCGTTCCTGCAACAGTGATGACCGAGTGAAGAAGAAGAAGAAGAAGAAATTTATGTAACACTTTGGTCAGATATGTGAACAGACGATGAATTTTCACATAAAGGAGAGCTTTATCTTTCGTTTCTCGGGTTTGTGGTTAAGTTATAGGCTGTTTGTGTAAGTTATAGGCAATGTTTCACATGTCGAATAAGATTTTTATAATGAGATTGAACCATAAAGTCTTTTCAATTTAGATGAATCAAACCGATCCAAAACCGAAATAACTGATCCAATATAAACCGGGCTCATATCCGAGAACATAAATATGTATTAATTGGTGTTTAGAAAGTTGATATATTTAACTGAATTCAGCTAATTTTAGTACAGACTGAATTAGTAAACCTGACTGAATTCAACTAATGTAGTCTTACTGGTTTAGGATTAACCTTAGAAAAATTTGACATTACGTTCGTCTAAATTTCGTTTCAACTGTATTTGATTACTGTGAGAATGCAAAAGGGACATTAAATGATGTGTACAAAAGTGCAGAAGTTATAAAACTCTGGGCGAAAATATCACGAGGGAATTTTTTTTTTTTTGGTATCAATTAATGTTAAATACTTATATCATTTTTAGAAGTGCAACAGCGATTGCAGAGGAAACAAAAAACACAGAAAAACGACAAGGAAAGCTAATCGATGGACGGGAGACCCGTGTTTGGGGCTTAGGTACTTCTTTTTCTTTTAGAGGGTTTCACCTCGATTGAAAAAGCTTGGTTTCCCGGGAAAGTTTCCTTTTTTCGCCGGATTTGTGAAATTTTCTTTCTGTTTTCTGCCGTAATTGTGCGGAGTAGGGGAAGTTTTGTGGTGATTTTAACCTAATTCTTATTCTCGCAAAACGCCGCCGCTTGAAAGTTCATAGCTTTGAGCATCGTTTTGCTTTGCGTGAAGAGTGTTTCGTTTTTGATCTGTGAGAGATGGAGTATGCGCTTGATAAAGCTCTACAAGAGATGACTTTGGAAGAGGATAAACCGATTGTGTTGCAGAACCACCCAAAGTACAGCTCTGTGATTCGTAATGGTTGTAGTATCATCGGACGACTGTTGTGCCCGGAGAACCAGAAGATGGCGAGTATGATTCATGAGATGCCCCGGATTTGGCGTGTAAACAACAGAGCAAGGGGGATTGCGCTACCTAATGACAAGTTTCAGTTCTTGTTTGATTCGGAAGCAGATCTATCGATGGTTTTGGAAACTGGTGCTTGGACTTTCAACGATTGGAGTATAACTCTAGAGAGATGGGTGGAGAATCCACCGGCGGACTACTTGAAAGTTCTTCCGATTTGGATTCGCTTACGTAACATCCCGGTGAACAACATGACTGCAGACACTATCAGAGAGATAGCTGAGCACTTTGGACAAGTTACACATGTGGCTTTTGATCCATTGAAGCCACAAAGTAGAGGTTTTGTGAGGGTCCGAGTTCTTTTTGACATCAACAGACCATTGAAGAACTCTCGGGTACTTCAAACCCCTAATGGAGAGTTGGTGGATATCGGTATTGAGTATGAAAGGATACGAAAACGTTGTTATAAGTGTCAACGACTCACACATGACAAGGATCACTGTCCTCTTAACAACTCAAACCGGCAAGTGATTGCTATGGGAGGAGTTAAGATGGCAGGCATTCCAAGTCGTCTTATCCCAAAGATTAGTAAAGATGACCCTCTGTTTGGTGTTTTGACTGATGATGATGTTGGAATAGACCCTACTTCTGGGAAACCCAAGATTGCAAAAGCAGTGTTGGATGAGATGAGGCAATATCTCTCAGTGGTGGATCCGCAAGAAAGGAAGGTACGGGTAGAGAGGGTTCGTCGATCTGTCTGGGAGTTGGATGGGGATTCACAAGGCCAAAAGACTCTGTTACGTCTTGAAGCTCCAACAGAATTCACAACAGATGTGGATAAAGGCAAGGGGTTGGTTTTTGACTTTGAGAAAACTGGATTAATATCAGGAGCTGCTGAACAGAATCCAGTGGTGGGTGGCCTCGAGGTTAACACAAGGAGTAGGTTATCATCACCTGTTCCATCTCATTCCGGGGCCTTTGTTTCTACGGCTCAACATTACCCTGGTTCTACGGATTTTCAACCTAGCTTTTCAGCGGGTTTTACCGGAACCAAAAACAAGATGGTAAGAAGAGAAGACGGCCTAATCAGTGGCGTAGGAAGGCTCAGGCCATGACAGAAGGTATCGGCACAAATCAACAACAACAAGTGCAGACCGGGGAGGAAGTAGTGTCAACAAAGAGGAAGGCTAATGATGAAGCTGAAGTATCATCGAAACTCGCTAAGCGAACTGAAGAGAAGGTGGTTCCGTATGAGGAACCGCCGAAACAAATATGAGCTTTATGAGCTGGAATTGTCAAGGGTTGGGGGGCACTTTGACAATTCCTACTTTGAAGGGAATGCGTCGTGAACATTTTCCGGATTTTCTGTTCCTCATGGAGACTAAAAACTCCAGTAATCACGTATTGAAAGTGAAGCGGTGGATGGGATATGATCATTCTTATATTGTTGATCTGGTGGGTCTCAGCGGAGGATTAGCATTATGTTGGAAGGCATCATATGAAGTAGAAGTAATAAATGCAGATCACATGATCATTGATATCAAAGTTAAACTTGGATCCTTGACATTTTTTGTGTCTTGTGTCTATGGAGATCCGGTGAGCCAATTAAGACAAGGTGTATGGGATAAGCTAGTGGACATTGGAGTGGGCAGAGATGATCCATGGCTTGTCATAGGTGATCTAAATGAGATCATTAACAATTCAGAAAAACTTGGTGGACCAGCACGGGCAGAATC